TATGAAATGTAATAGTTTATACTACAGGATGGCTTCTAGTCTAGAGTAACTGACATGGTTTTTAGTTCACTTGTGCCAACACTCAGGGAAAAACATCCATGAGCATATTAAGGATGTATTATATATAACATATTTTCTTCATATTTTGTAGACTAGCTAGTAAACATCTGGGTGGTGTTTTGTGCAGGTCAAGGTGGCTAAAATTGCGTACCATTGTTATTTTCTTGGTATTAAATAATGAAGATGTAGACCATCTCCCAAGTAATATACTGAAAAGAAATATGAGTCTATATACTGTGAGAGTGCAATAATGCCATCTTAAATTCAGAATATTTTAATTTAAAACTTCTACATAACTGAACAATAAGTGGTGCAACTTCTTGTATACTATTATACATACACTTAATAAGGAACTGGGTCCAATGGTGTTTCTATAAAGAAATGCTCACATAGGGCAATACAATTTGTACAATACCCAAATCGGAAACAATGCATGTTATAGTTATTAATCCTACTCACATTTTCATCAGCCTGTACTGGACTGGCTCAAGTATATAGGAATGAGTAGGATGTAGAGATCGTGGGGTTTAAATGGATGCATTTCTCCCAGATGTTCATATAATCAAACCCAGGCCAAATTCAAGCTAGACATTGCTAGATATCGTGAATAATATCTGGAGTTTGCATTGCAAATGGCTGATACTGATGTATCAGGCACTGATAGAATGAAGAGAAAATCTTCATTAATAAGTCATGTATATGTCGCACAGTGCACTACAAACATTCACCGTGTTTTCTCCAGACAACGGGGTGAGTTAAAAAAAAAAATGAAACATCTATCAATTTAAATAAGGAATTGCTAAGCATTCACAGCAAGATGAGTATTTATTTGCTTGAAATGGAGAACAGTAAACTAGGTCACAGATACAAGTCAGTTTTTGGTTCAGGAGGATGTCACTATAGAAGGTCCAAATGCTGGTGATTTTTTGCAAAAAAGACCTTCAAAACTAAACATCCTATAGGTATCATATATAAACTTCCAATTTATATTATGTCTTTAAAAGGGTGTCTCTTTAAATTTAATAAGTCTAGATAGCGTTTCCACCCATTTTCATAAATAATCTATTTCCCCATATAATAGTGCCACTAATACAGGGAAAACCCGTCCAGGAACTGGGTGTCAAAAAAAATAACAAGTAATAAATATTGAAATGATTGCTACAAAAACATTATGCACCATAAGATTTAACTTAAATACAAGGAAGAATGAATATTATAAATATATCAATATTGTAGGCTGGGAAGGAATGTCACTTGGTAATGCACAAATCACTGGTCCTGTGTCTGTAAAAAGGAAACATGGATGGCACACCCAATAACTTCTTCATTAGACACACAAGAAAATTAAGAAAAGAAAAATTACCAAAAATATGCAATGTTGGACATTCAGAATTTGCCACCAAAAACATGTTTACATATTTAATAATAATGCAATGATATCGGAGTATTGTCATGATAACATCAATCAGGACTTTACACTGGAGCAAGATGTGTGCCAACTGTTTCGCCAGGGCATGATGGTAGGGCCAGCGAGCTGTAGCGCTTTACAATATTATGAGAAGGGGGATTTAACTATAAATAGGACAAATACAAGAAAACTTACAGGAACGATAGGTTGAAGAGGACCCTGCTCAAACGAGCTTACAGTCCATAGGTGGTGGGGCATAAAACATATTAAGACAGGAAATAGCAATCAAATAAGGTGGAAGTGAAGCAGATCTGGATGAGAGAGTAAAGTGCTGCCCTTTAGAAGAGAGCAAGAGACAGGAATGTGAGGTAGAGGGTACTCTGGGAGGCCATAAGCTTTCCTGAAGAGGAAGTGAGACAAGTTTTAAGGCACTTCTTAAACTATTGAAGACTAGGGGAGATTCTGATGGCGGTAGGCAGGCTATTCCATAGGAAGGGAGCTGTCCGCGAGAAGTCCTGCAAGCGTTCGTTGGCCGTACGGGTGCGAGCAGCGGACAGGAGAAGGTCACGGGCAGAGCGGTGAGACCTAGAAGGGGCACACCTATGGATCTGTGAAGATATATAAGAGGGGCTAGAATTGATCAGTGCTTTATTGGTATGGGTTAGCACTTTGAATTGACTCCTATAGGATACAGGAAGGCAATGTAAGGAGAGGGGTGAGGTGTGAGAGGACCGACTGGTAGCGGGGCAATATGGCTTTTAGGAAGACCAATTAGGAGAGGGTTACAATAATCCATGCAGGAAATTACTAGAGCATGGACAAGCTCCTTGGTAGCATCTTGCATAAGAAAGGGATACGGGCTATGTTTTTAAGATGAAATCTACAGGATTTGGCAACATGCTGTATGTGAGGCTCAAAGGTTACGCCAGAATCAAATATGACGCCAAGACAGCGCACTTGCAAGGATGGACTGATGTGGATACCACTAACTTGAAGGGAGAGCGAAAGCGGAGGATCAGTATTAGGAGGAGGAAAGACAAGGAGCTCAGTTTTAGAGAGACTGAGTTTCAGAAAGTGGCAGGACATCCATTCAGAGATGGAAAAAAGGCAAGCAGTGACACATTGCAGGATGGTAGGGGAGAGGTAAAAGGAAGGAAAGCTATATCTGGGTGTCATCAGCGTACAGGTGGTAGGGGAATCTGAATGAGGTAATAAGTTTACCAAGAGAGGCAGTGTAAAGAGAAAATAGAGGTGGACCAAGGACAGAGCCTTGGGGGCCTCCAACCGCGACAGGACAAGGGGAGGTGGTATCATTGGAAAAGGAAACACTGAATGAGCATTGGGAGAGATAATAGGAAACCACGAGAGGACAGAGTCACAGAGACCGAGTGATTGAAGAGTTTGAAGAAGGAGAGTGTCAAAGGCAGAGAGGTCAAGAAGAATTAGTATGGAGTAGTGGCCTTTGGATTTAGCTGCAATTAAGTCGTTAGTAACTTTAATAAGAGAGTTGGAATTGAGGAAGTGAGACAAGTCTTTCCAGAAGTTTTGAGGAAAAAGGGGGCAGGGATATGGGACGTTAGTTAGAGGGGGAGGACGGGTCAAGAGATGTTTATTGCAGGATAGGTACTACAGTGGCATGTTTAAGGTCAGCAGGGACAACGCCAGAAGAGAGAGAGAGCAGTTGAAGATGTGTGTTAAGGAAGGCACAAGAGAGGGGGAGAGAGATCTGATAAGGCGAGATGGAACAGGATCAAGCGGGCAAGTGGTGAGGCGAGAGTAAAGGAGAAGCACATCCACCTCTTGTTCAGTAGCCAGGGAGAAAGTCTGAAGGGTAGAAAAGGCATAATCAACATATGGTTGAGAAACAGAACGGCAAGGTGGGAAGAATTCTTTCCTTAGCTGTTCAATCTTGTCGGTAAAGTAGCATGCAAAGCTATCGGCTGTAAGGTTAGTTTGGGGGTTGGCCACAGCAGGGCGAAGAAGAGAGTTAAAGGTGTCAAAAAGACGCCTGGAATTGCAGGAGCATTAACTAATGAGAGAAGAAAATTATGACTGTTTGGTGAGGGCAAGGACTGCGCTGTATGAACACAACATGAATCTATAATGGAGATAGTCTGCCTGGGTGCGAGACTTCCTACAGGACCGTTCAGAACAACGGGAGCATCTTTGCAGGTAGCGTGTTGATTTAGTATGCCATGGTGCATGTTTGGAGCGGGGCTGCAGCGTTCAAGGCAGAGGTGAGGTTAGTGTTATATGTGGAGATGGCCAGTGAGGGACAGGAGAGGGAAGGGATAGATAGCAGTTGTGAATCAATATCCGCTGACAGCTGCTGGAGGTCAATAGAATTAAGCCTCCTCCTGAGTTGAGGAGAGTTAGGCTGAGGTTGTTGGGTGAAGTGGTGATCAGAGAGAGGAAATGGAGTGTTGCATATATTACATACTGTACAAGCATAAGAGAAAATGAGGTTGAGTGTATTGCCAGCTACAAGGGTGGGTGAATTAGCCCACTGTGATAGCCCGAGGGAGGAAGCAATTGAAAGTAGTTTAGAGGCTGCTGAGGTCAAAGATGGATTAATGGGAATATTGAAGTACCCGAGAATTAAGGATGAAATATTAGAAGAGAGGAAGTAGGGTAGCCAGTCAGCAAAGTTGTCAAGGAAGAAGGGAGGGGAACCAGTGAGGCGATAAATAACGGGAATGTTATGAGAGAAGGGTTTGAAGAGGCGAATCAAATACATTTCAAATGATGGGAAAGAGAGGTAAGGGAGGGGAGGTGAGTAGAGGTTTGAAAGAGCAGTGAGGTGAGAGGAGAAACCCTACACCACCACCTTTACATTCAGAGTGTCTTGGGTTATGGGTAAGTTGAAGACCACCAAAGGATTTTGTGTGGGAGTGTTGATTGGTTGTATTGTACGTATTTATTGGTTGTTCTGCAAAACCCTGTGGGCAGTACTATGTTTGTAGAATGTGAATAAAAGAGGCTGTATGTACCAGTACAGTCAGTTCTACTTCACCCTCAATTAGGAGTGCCATCTCTTATTGGGGGAATCTGCTACAAGGGATTGCTATGCTTGTCATACTCCCTTGCTAAATCACTACTAAGCTCTTGTAAGAGCTTGTTCCTGCCTTGGTCTCTGGAGGAGTCTACGGTGGTTATGGTGTCTGCTGCAGTCCTTGGAGTACTCAGGAAGTGCTAGGAGCATCCTTCAACGGAGGTACCCAGTCGGGGTGCCGTCGATCCGTTACAATTACCCTTTTGATATTTTGTACTCAGCACATTTAAGCACATTGGTTGCACTTTACATTAAATTGTCACTTGTATGTGAGTTTTTGGAGGTTTACACATTCAGGTAGTAGCTGCTATCTTTTTTAAAAAACTTTAAAAAAAAAACTTTAAAAAAACCTTTTAAGGGGGCGTGGCCGAACGTCGGAAGAGATGGATGCACACTAAGTGAGCTCCGCGATCACGGGCTCGATAAAGCGGCTAAAACATACCTTACCGGGTGCATCCCCTGCCCACTAAAGCACACACGATGTCCCAACACCGGACGAAAAAGGCCACGGAGGCAAAAGAAAAAACTGCCTTCTTTACAGCCCGCACGCCGCAGCATAAAGCCGCCGACCCTCAGACCCAAGATGGCGCCGGCCAGGAATGCGATATGGAACGCGACGAAACAGTAAGCAGACAAGAAGACTGCCCCATGACCCAAAGTCTCCTGCAAACTATGTTAGATGCAGCAGTCACCAAAATGCAAACTGCTGTTACAACTGCTTTAAATGACATAAGGAAAGGCTTAAAGGAGATAGAAGGACCTCCCACCTGGAGGACAGCATGGAAAGCCTCACAGGGGCCTGCAATGATGCTGACACACGCCTCAGCATACTTGAGGAACAGATACACAGACAAGAGACCAAATTGGCGGATGCCGAAGATAGATCACGCCGCAATAATATACGGCTAAGAGGTGTACCAGAAGATATTGTTCCGCAAAATCTAACAGCCTATGCTGTGGAGCTTTTCCACGCCTTACTTCCCGACATCCCCGCAGAAATGTTTCTACTAGACCGCATCCACAGGCTCCCCAAGCCACAACACCTACCGCTCACCACACAGAGAGATGTCCTCATGAGACTCCACTACTATCACATCAAAGAACAGATCTTGCGGGCGCACCGCACCAAAAAGGACTTACCTACCCAATTCAAAGACGTACTCCTGTTCATGGACCTATCAGCAGAGACACTACGCCGCAGAAGATCCTTCAAGGCCGTGGCAGACACGCTGAGGCAAAACCGTGTGCCATATCGATGGGGCTATCCAGCCAAGCTGCTTATAACAAAGGGAGGAAAAATCATCCCGGCTGCTACACCGACAGAAGGACTGAACCTCCTGAAGCAATGGGGTATATCCCACAACACACAGCCAAACCCCAGAATTCCCGGGAAACAGCTATCCGACGACTGCCGACCCCAGAAGACGAGACGCACTTCTCCAAGAGAGGACTGAACGTACTCGACAAGAAACAGCAAGTTCTCACCATGTTTGCTTTGTTACTTAAGTGTTATATCCTAGGTTATAACGTATGATAATGTCATGTTTAATACTAACTAGCACCCTTATGATATGCCCTCGAAAGACTCCCCTTGGTGAAGGGAGCGGCATTAAGCACGCCATCTCATTAGGCCTTGCCTAACAACCTCGCCCTGTCTATATAGGGTACACATTTTTGGCTGCTGACCCTCGTGGACACAGCCTCCATTAATACCACTTAGGCCCTACTCCACCCACATCGGTGCTGAGCGCTCCAATCACTACATACCAACCTCTCAGGCAGGGGAGGCGCCCCGGATCCTCACTGGGCCCATAGCGATCTCCGCTCGATCCGAACCGCCCACATCACCCCCGCCTAGGAAGTGCCATAGCGAAGGCACATACCTTTTAAGTTACCTTTGTAAGATACTTTCTTTGTTTACCGTTTAACCGTTTATACTTATATTTTGTTAACCTGTGCTTGAAAATTTGATTGAATACCTGGTTGCACCTGGCTCCTACCACACCAAGAAAACACGTTGCTGACCCGCACGGTCGCCCACTCCGGACGAGCTGACGAACCCCTCGACCCCACAAGACTGAGACCGTTTCCCCTCCCACCTCCACAACACTCAACTGCCCCACACGACTGCCAAATATTATCCGCATACACAGTATACACCACTCACGGAAAATGAAGTTACTTACACATAACGTGAGGGGTCTAAACTCACCCAACAAACGACACACCCTTCTTAAAGAACTTAATAACACGCACGCAGACATCGTCTGCTTACAGGAGACCCACTTCAAACAGGACTCCAACCCCATCCTGGGTCTCAAAACCTACCCACACCAGTACCATTCCACCTCTCCAACCAAATGTAAAGGTGTAACGATACTGATAAGCCATTCTATAGCCTTTGACCTAATCTCAATCGACTCTGATCCGAAGGGTCGCTATATCATTTTAATCTGCACCTTAAACAACTCAACGTACACGATAGTGAATTCCTACTCACCGAATGACAACCAAGAGACCTACCTAGCCCTCCTGCTAGACAAAGTTGAGAAACTCCAAACAGGCACCACGGTCATCTGCGGTGACTTTAATCACATACTAGACCCTGACGCAGACTCCACAGCCCGACACTCCTCGTCACGCAAGAAATCACTACACAAGAGCTGCAATTCCATAAACAAACTTCTGTCAGTACATGGGCTCTACGATATATGGAGGACTCTACACCCTAATAATAAGGAATACACCCACTACTCCCAAGTACATAATACCTACTCCCGGATAGATGGGTTCCTCCTGCGCTCCTTCAGCTGATAAGAACTTGTGACATAGGAACATCCACGATCTCGGACCACAATCCGGTGTCACTAGTCCTAGCAGACTCGTACCAATTCAAACATCGTAGCCCCTGGAGGCTGAATGAACATCTCCTTAACGACCCCTCTTTCCTAAAATAAGTAAAATACGAAATATCTTTATACTTCACAACCAATAGCCCCACTGACCCGACCCCAGCCACTCTGTGGCTAGCCCACAAGGCTGTCGTTAGGGGCATCCTGATAAGTAGAGCGGCACATCTTAAAAAATTGAACTACTCCAAAATGCTCACGCTCCTCAAGAAGATCCACGACCTCCATAGGTCGAACCAAGCAAACCCCACAAAAGCACTCCAGCAGCAAATTCAATCCACGCAAGACGAAATAAACGCCATACACCTCCGCAAGGCAACGGCAACGTTAAAAACACTAAAAGCCACATCCTACTCAATGGGCAACAAAGCTACAAACACACTGGCGCGCAGACTTAGAGATCAACAGACACAAACTAGAATACAATACATAAAAACACACACCGGACAAAAAGTACTACAACCCTCACAGATATGCAACGAATTTGCCCACTACTATGGCTCTCTATACAACTTGAAAAACGACCAAAATGCGCCCAGACCCTCACCGACATCCATTAGATCTTACCTCAACAAACTCGCACTCCCCACTATAAACACACACCAAGCGACACAGCTCAGTGCCCCAATCACCATAGAAGAAGTCCTTCTCCACATAGAGGCAATGCCCAGAGGAAAAGCACCAGGCCCAGATGGGTACACCAACACATACTACAAGGCATTCAAACACGAACTTGCCCCTTCCCTTACCCATTTCTTTAACGAAGCAACTACCCAGGGCTCCTTCCCCACTGAGTTCTTGTCAGCCCACGTAATCACGATACCCAAACGGGAAAGCCCCCAACTGTATGCCAAAATTTCAGACCTATCTCGCTGCTTAACGCAGATGCTAAACTCTACGCGAAAATTCATGCTGACCGACTTAAAACAATACTACCTTCCCTCATACACACAGACCAGGTGGGTTTCGTGGCGGGCAGACAGGGCCCAGATAACACCAGAAAGGTCATGGACATACACCACCTCCTAAAACGGACCAACACAGAGAGCATTATGCTATCACTTGACGCCGAAAAGGCGTTCGACCGCCTCAACTGGCACTTTCTACACAAAGCCATGACCCTCTACGGCTTTCCACCGCCCTTCCTGTCAGTCATACAGGCCCTATACAGCAACCCCACAGCGACAGTTCTGACTTCGGGGTTCTGCTCTCAACCCATCCCGATAACCAACGGCACCGTCATGGTTGCCCACTGTCTCCCCTCCTGTACGTCCTGGCCCTAGAACCCCTGGCCATAGCCATCCGCGAGAACAACAACATACACGGAGTTCCACTTGGCCAACAGGAATATAAGCTCAGTCTATTCGCGGATGACATATTACTCACACTCACCCAACCACTCATTTCTCTTCCTTCCATACACAAAGAGCTACACACATACAGCCAACAATCCTACTACAAACTCAACATCACCAAAACGCAAGCAATGTGCCTCAACATACCCAGAGCCACTGAAAATGTCCTTAAAGCTGCACACGAATACGACTGGAGAACTGACTTCCTAACGTTCTTAGGCATCAAGATAACTAACAAATCCACCGATCTCTTCACAGCGAACTATGCAAAACTACAACGGGAAATTGAACAACAGCTTCGCAGATGGTCAAATCTATTCCTATCGTGGGTCGGAAAGATAGCTGCTATCAAGATGACAGTACTCCCTAAACTCTTATATCTCTTTCGGTCCTTACAAATCAAGATCCCACAGAGCTACTTGACGAAAATGCAAGCAATCCTCCTCCGTTTCTGCTGGAGTGGAAAACACCCCAGAGTACCTAAAGCCCTGCTCTTTAGACACATACAGCAAGGGGGAATGGGATTCCCTAACTTAAAATCCTACTACCAAGCAGCCCTACTCACAAACGTCATCAACGCTCACACCACGAAACAACCCCCACAATGGGTAGCGATGGAAAGCCAACTCTGTACAAATCACGACCTTTCCTCCACCCTATGGACTCCCAAACATGCAAGGTCGAGAAACTCGGACCTGCTGCCCGCCACCAAACTCTTACTATCCACATGGGATATCTGCAGGGAAAAACTATGCTCAGCGCATCCATGGGCACTAGTAGCCCCAACCAAAACACTACATCACTGTAATGGCACGTTCCCACACCACAAATGGGAAGACAAAGGCATCACACACATGTATCACCTCTACACGCCCGAAGGCCTGAAACTCTTCCCAGACCTCCAAACCGAGTTTACACTCCCATCATACTTCACATTCTCATACCTTCAATTAAAGGCCTTACTGCAAAACAACACGATCCACAACAGAAGACCGACTTTACAGACCATGGCGACGAAGTTCGAAATGCATTGCATGTCAACATCATCCCCTAAAAAAGCGCTCTCCACCTGCTACAACGGTCTAACAAACCTCAAAACAGAAAACGCATGGAAATTTATGAACGACTGGCAGGAAGACCTCCAAGAAACGATCTCCCCTCAAGAATGGAAGAAAATCTTCACAGCACATGAAGGCATGTCCTCCTGCACGGCCCACTTTGAAACTTCACGCAAACTGTTGTATAGGTGGTATATGGTACCCGCACGTTTACACTCCATGTACCCCGGTTCGACGGACATATGCTGGCGATGCAACTCGCACAGAGGCACAATGCTACATGTTGTAATGACATGAAGGGGTGCTGCCCTGGAGCAGCACTGTCCCTTTAAATGTGGGAACCACTATAGCAAAGAAATAAGTGCCAAGACACAAATGAAATAGGTTAAATCAAGAAATATATATTTACAGGGAACCAAAGCAGAAAGTAAAACAAAATATATACATACACAGACAAGGCCACAAAATATATACACTGTAAATCAAAATAAGCACGAATCGTGCAGGCAACAAATACTGTAATAGTCCTTAGGTATTAGGGTAGGATTGTGCAGCTACCACGGGTATCAGGTAGGGCACAGATCCAAAATCACAAGACTAATATAGTGACAACAAGAACGAATAAATCAGCAAGGCTGCAGGGACAGGATCGCTGGTAGTAAATCAGAGACCACGGAGCCAGAGCACTGGATCGGAGGACACAGCAATGAAGGACCAGGAGAACACAGTAACGCAGGATCAGGAGGACACAGGGTGAAGACCAGGAGAACACAGGACCAAGTAACAGTAAGCAGGAGCCAGGAGCCAGGAGCACAGGAGACCAGGGAAACAGGAAACAAAAGGTAATGATCTGGCAAGGAGTGAGGGGAGAAACCAAACTAAATAGGTGCTAAACAAGGACCAGGTGAAGTGCTTAATGAAAAGAAATCGGGAACAGTGCTAAACAAAAACAGTGGTGAGTGTGAGTACTGCACGAGGGCAAATCAACTAAGGAGTGTCGTGACAGTACCCCCCCCTCAAGGAGCGACTCCTGGCGCTCCAAATCCCCAAGACTCCCCACGGGTGACAGAAGAAAGTCAGGGTCACCCAACCAGTAGAGGAAAACAAGGAGGAGGTTCGTGAGGAATGAGAG